TGCCCTCTATGAGGTGGATTGATTCAGTGACTGGGATAATTGGGATGGGAGTGTCAGAGACAGTGCGATTGGCACAGGACAGAGTGGAGTTTAGGGCTGCTGTACATAGGGTCGCTATGAGTCGCAAGCGACTTGATGGCACATAACAACATCAACAACCTTTGAGTTGCCAGCACAATTCCCTACCACTAAGCAACCAGACTTCCCTATTAATTTTTTATAAATGTATAATATGGCTTGTTTTATCCTTATGTTGGTTTTTTTTGTCTTATCTTGTTTTTGAGATGTGCCAGCCAAGTTGACTATGACTCATAGTGACCTAGGAACATTTTTCTATTTTTGTATACCTTGTAATGCATACATGAATATAGTAGCACATATATGCAATTTTAAAATAAATATACACACATGGAGGTAGAGCAAAAAAAAAAAGAAATAAAAAAGACTCAAACAAACTGCTACTGACTTTTTGATTCATAACAAGCTTATAGGATGGAACAGAACTGCCCAGAACATTTCCAAGGCCAAATACATCTTGGAGAGGGTGCAGCTGAAGTGCTCTTTGGAGGCAAGAATAATAAGGCTTCACCTCACATACTATGGGCATGTTGCTAGGAGGGGTTATTCCTTGGATAAGAACATGATGCTGGGAAGGGTGGAGGGTCAGTGAAGGAGAGGAAGACCCTCAACCAGGTGGACTGGCACGGTGACCACCACAGGGGTTCTTGTCTGTCAGGAAATGTGAGGAGGGCACAGGATAGAGCAGGGTTCAGGTCTCCTATTCATAGGGTCACTAAGAGTCGTATTCAACTCGATAGCACCTAACAACAATAACAACAACAGCTTTATGGAAACAGATGATCACATCTTTCTTCCATAGGGCAGTTAGCAGGATCAAACCTTTTGGTTAGTCTTCTAAGGCTTTAAACACTGCTCCACTAGGACTCCTCATTTAGGTGTATCTGCAAATCAACAATATGAATACTACTACAATAAATTTCAGACAGAGGGAACCCTGGTGGCTTTGTGGTAAGGCACTGTGCTACCAAGCCTAAGGCATGTGGTTTGAATCCAGCAGGGCTCTGGGGGAAATTAATGTGCAATCTCCTCCAGTGTGAGTGAGTGCCTCTAAAGACCTATTTGAGAGTCAGCTATGAGTCAGTTCTGACTTGAAAGTACATCACAAAAACACCAGCAGATAACAGACAAGGTCTCTTTCTGCTACAAAGGGTGCTTTATACAAGGTTATTATGCCCACTCAAAGGCATCAAACAGTAACATCCGAGATACTTTGAAGAAACACATTTTGAAACAAAACGTTTTGCTGGTATAGTAAATCACACCTACTGAATATCTAATAAATTTTCTTACTGAAAACTAGTGTTATCTCAAAAGGATAAAGTAAAAACAAGATTTTTAAAATACACTTTTTGATAGTTTAATGATGAGTTTCATCCAAGATATGCAGATTATGACATACGTTTAGTAACTATAATGTATTAAATTTCTTTTACCATTCTTGATGTTAGGGAAAACAAGATGTGTAGGTGAACTTCTGTTTTCAACAGCTTCTTTCTTCTGGCTAACAGTTGAAATAGAAGTGGAAATTTGGCCTTTGGCTCCTCTGTCCAAACCCTAAAAACAGAAAAGTTCATATTGCAACATAGTTCCAATTAGCATACTTAAGTTATTTTGTCATAGAAATCTTAACATTTATAATGGAGTACTGTTAACTGGTTTTAATTCAATGATTAACATATTTTGTTCTAGAACAATCATTACAATTGATCAATGTCATTTTTCACAACATCCAATCAAATCCTCACTGTACTTAGCCTTTCCCTTCATCCCTCCATCAACTAATAGTTGCTGCCCAGCAATCTTTCTCTTCTTCTTCTTCTTCCCTCTCACTCCCCTTTCTCCATCTCCCCTTCCCTTCTTTAGCCAGTCAGTTATGAATATCCTGTTCCAAGATGTTGAGGGCAATGTGCATATTCTCCTTTCCCCCAGGTTGATCCTCTCCTCCCTTAACCTTTTACAGCGTTCATTGCCTGTCCACGTTATTTCCGTTTTCCCCACCCTGCCCCATAACCTTCCTATTTTCACAAATGCAGGTTATACACAAGGAATTCACCTGATGGTATGCATAAAAATCAGACTGATTACATCTGTGGAAAGAACCAATGGAGAAGCTCAATATCAGTTGTGAAAACTAGGCCAGGTGCTGATTGTGGAACAGACCACCAACTACTCATATGCAAGTTCAAGCTGAAGCTGAGGAAAATTAAACCGAGTCCATGGGAACCAATATGTTACTTTGAGTCTATCCCACCTGAATTTCAGAACCACCTCAGGAACAGGCTTGAGGCCCTGAACACTAATGTGTGAAGACTAGATGAGTTGTGGGAGGATATCAAGAGTATCATCCAGGAAGAGTGCAAACGGTCATTACCAAGACAGAGGAGGAAGAAAAGACCAAAATGGATGTCAGAAGAAACTCTGAATATTGCCAAAGCACAGGGAAGAATTCATGTTACTAAAGAGCTGAACAGAGATTCCAAATGGTAGCATGGGATGACAAAGTGAAATATTACAATGAAATGTGCAAGGAGCTGGAGTCAGAAAATCAAAAGGGCTGAACTCGCTCAGCATTTCTTAAGCTCAAGAAACTGAAGAACAAAGTCAAACCTCGAGTTGCTATAATCAAGGATGCTTTAGGCAGAATATTAAATGATCCCAAAAGTATTAAAAGAAGATGGAAAGAATATACTGAGTCACTGTATCGAAAGGAATTGGCAGACACAGAAGAATTTAATGAAACAACATATGAACAAGAGCCTATGGTGATGAAGGAAGAAGTTCAAGCTGCTTTGAAGGAAATAGAAAAAAATAAGGCCCCAGCAATAGATGGTAAACCAACTGACATATTTCAGCTAACAGATGCTGCCCTGGATGTGCTCACCAGGTTGTGCCAAGAAATCTGAAGAACAACTTGGCCAACTGACTGGAAGAGATCTACATTTGTTCCCATTCCAAAGAAGGGTGATCCAACAGAGTGTGGAAACAATAGAACAATATTGTTGATTTCACATTCAAGCAAGATTCTACTGAAGATTATCCAAAAACAGCACATCAGCAGAGAAATGCCAGAAGTCCAGGATGGGTTTAGAAGGTCATGGTACTGGGGATATTGTAGCTAATGTTAGATGGATCTTAGCTGAAAGCAGAGAATACCAGAGGAATGTCTATCTGTGTTTCATTGATTGTGCAAAGGTGTTTGACTGTGTGGATCATAACAAACTGTGGCTGGCTCTGAGGAGAATGGGAATCCCGGAAAACATGATCGTGCTGATGAGAAACCTATACTTGGACCAAGAGGCAGTCGTCAGAACAGAGCAAGGAAACACCGCATGGTTCAAAATTGAGAAGGGCGTAAGCCAGGGATGTTTCCTATCTCCATACCTTTTCAATCTATATGCAGAACAGATTATCTGGGAGGCTGGGCCATATGAGGAGAAATGTGGCATCAGGAAATGGAGGAAGATTCATCAACAATCTGCGTTATGAAGATGACACAACCCTGCTAGCTGAAACTGAGGAGGACCTCATGCACTTGCTGTGGAGGGTCAAGGACTGCAGCCTCCAATATGGATTGAGGTTCAAGATCAAGAAGACAAAGATGGGCCATTGGCAGCATCAGGATGAATGGTGAAGAGACTGAGACTGTTCACAGCTTTAGTCTGCTTGGCTCCACAGTCAATACTCTTGGCACCAGCAGCCAGGAAACCAAAAGATGTATTGTGATGGGAAAGTCTGCTGTTAGAGACCTCTCCAAATACTGAAAAGCAATATGCCACTCTGGGGACAAAGGTGCACTTGATACAAGCCATGGTCTTTGCAATCACTTGCTATGAGTCAGAGAGCTGGACAATGACTAGGGATGATAGAAGGAGAACTGATGCCTTTGAGCTGTGGTGTTGGAGAAGAATACTGAATATACCATGGTTTGCTAAGAAAATGAATAGGTTCATCCTAGAGAAAGAAAAACCAGGCTGCTCCTTGGAGGTAAGGATACTGAAGCTTTGTTTCACATAGTTTGGACATGCTGCAAGGAAGAACCAGTCCTTGGAGAAGGACGTCATGCTTGGAAGGGTGGAGGGACAGCTCAGGAGAGGAAGACCCTCTATGAGGTGGACTGATTCAGTGACTGGAGTAATCAGGGTAGGTGTGTCGAAAACAGTGCGATTGGCACAGGATAGAGAAGGGTTTAGGGCTGTTGTACATAGGGTCACTATGAGTTACAGGGAACTTGATTGCACATAACAAACAATAACAACAAGGTAAAAACAAATAATCAGTTAAAAAAAATTGGTCCATTCTAACAATTAAATCCTTGTGCGCATAAAAATAATTTTCCAACAGAGTGAAAAGAAAACCTATTGACTGGGAAAAAAAACATGTGGCAATACCATCTCAGACAAGGGTCTCATAACAAAAGTTTATAGAATCTACAGGACTTCCACAAGAAAAAGACTGATAACCCAACTACAAAATGGGCAAAAGACATGGAAAGATTTTTTACAGAGAAAGACATTTGGATGGCCAACAGACACATGAAGAAATGCTCAAAATCACTGGGAATAAGAGAGATGCAAATGAAAACTATAGGGAAATACCATTTTACTCCAGCAGCAGTGGCAAAGTATAACAGGACAGCAAGTAATAAATATTGGAGATGTGGAGAGATAAGAACTCTTAAACACTGTTGGTAGAACTGTAAAATTGTACAACCACTTTAGAAGGCAGTTTGGCACTTCCTTAAAAAAGCTGACCATAAAAAAAAAAAAAAAGCTGAATATAGAAATTCCATATGACTCAGCTATTCTACTGCTTGGAAAATAACCCAAGGAAATGAGACTCAAGTGGAGATTTGTACAATGTTCATAGAAACTTTAGTCACCATTATAAGAACATAGAAATAGCCCAAATGTCCAAACAGTCCAATGGATTGAGAAATTGTGGTATAGTCACACTATGGAATACTACGCAGCATGCAGGAACAATGATGTAAAAAAATTACTACATAACTTGGGAGAGACTGGAGAGCATTATCCTAAGTGAACTCACTCAGTCCTATGAGGACGAATACTGTGTAAGTCCCTTACTGTATACACTGTTGTTGCAGGTGATTCATAGCGACCCTATAAAGGAGAGTCCTCAACACTTGGGTGTCTTTCATCTCTCCAGGTTCATAGGGTTTCCAGAGGCAAGTTATTATGGAAGTGGATGCCACTCCTCCTTCCAAGCTTGTTTTAATCAGGGAGCTCCACCCCACTCTCTGTCCGCATTGGGTAACCAACCATTAAGGCATTTGACACATCAGTATCAGAATGTTCAGCCTCACAGCAACCACAAGTTACCACTGTACGGCAACTTGTACACCAGGGCTATACGACCTAGAGGAATGTCTGAACAAAAACATACATAGAAAGATAACTAGTGAAATGAGTATGAGCATCCAAGGTGGGGAGGATAGGAGCAGAGAGGTGACGATGGGCAGGGGGATAATCATAGGGTTGCACAATTTAATGGTAGAGGGAGGAATGGGTAATGGAAATGTGAAAGATCTGGTGCGAAAAACAATGTATATGAACTTTATAAGCCAATCAGTAAAAAAATGTATTTAAAGAATTGGTCCAGTGAAGTGACAATGAAGAAAGAAGTAGGGGATATAATCATGAAACTTTTTTGTTATTTTGTTTGTTGTTTTTTTTTTTTTCTAACATATTTCTCTGGTTTTGACACAGTACACAAGAGGGCAAAGTGTTTCACATCATAGAATTTCACTTCCAAGTCTTTGGAATGTTCATTTCTTTGTCTAAAAGAGTTGCCAGGAAAGTCAGGCATTAGGTAGGTAGGCCACTAAA